AGTGAGAGTCGTGAAATGATTCAATGATTCAGAATGACATTGCAAAATATCATTCCTTAAGAAACCACGGATAGGTAATAAGAAAAACAAACTGTTATTTCTATCAGCCTCAAGTACAGGGTTTAGTTACGGTACAAGACTACACACGCACATACACACACAAAGAATTGCTGGGCCATAGTCCACAGAAAACATCAAGGCTAGAAAAACACAATGGCGACATTCCATACAGAGAGGTTCCCTTCTTAGAAAGATGATTTATCTCATGCTGTGGTCTAGTGGTCAGAGTTCCTAGCTACATATCCTGAGGTTCCGGGTTTAATCCCCGGCGCTACCAGATTTTCTGAGAAGTAATGGGTCTCGAACGGGGTCCACACAGCCTCGTGAGGATAACTGAGGAGCTACTTGAATGGAAAAGTAGCGGCTCCGGTATAGAAAACCGAAATTATGGCCGTGGGGATCCGTTGCGCTGACCACGCGACACCCTCTATCTGAAAAGAGGAAGAGAAGAGAAAATTCTTGACCCTGTCTCGAACACCGACCCCTCGGTCGATATACCGACTATGCTATCCCGGCTCCCTTTTAGTGGGTATCAGTATTATAAAATGATCTCCAATAGAGCACGGAACCACTTCATAAGGTGAAGAACTGAGTCTAGCAGCAGGATGTAAATACGATAATGAACCTTAAGGTTCCATAAAAAGCGGGGAATTACTTGACCGAGGGAGGTACCCAAGGGCAATAATATTGTTTTATACGCAAACTGAGTAGCGACGTATCTTTACTGCCATCCTGTATGTGCTTATGCGCTATAAACACTGCCAACACACATCTTTAAGAATGGCCACTGTGTTACGACAGTGAATAGCATTCCTGGGCTCCGACGCAATTAGCACACACTGTGACGGTTTTCCCCACCGACACCTGCACCGAAGTCAGGCGGTCACATGAAAGTGCGGCTCTGTTGGTTTCCATTCACCCGTCAAATACGTTGACAGTGTAATGCCATTCTTTAAGAAACATACCATAAACAAGCGGAGGAGCGCGGCAGCGTATTTGGTTGAGGCACTATGCTACAAGCCGGAAGGTCGCGGAATTGAATCCCGATGAGGTGGATCTTTTCAATTTACCTAATCCTTACAGCCGCACTAGGGCCCTGCGATCGACTCAGCCTCTAACAGAAATGAGTACCGGGAATATTCTTTGGGGTAAAGGGCGGCCGGCGCGTAAGGATGACAACCTTACCGCCATCTATGAGCCGAATGTCTACAAAGTGTGGGAAACTCAACACCTCACAACCCTATGGGCACCCACGGCCTGTTACAGGGATACCTTTACTGACTTTTACCACAAAGAAGCACTAAAAACTATGATAACAGAGGAACAGATAGTCCCCTGCCTAAGCTCCATGAAAGTGTCTATGAACGTGGAAGAAAATCTCAACGCATTATAGACAATAGAATTATGTAAAAGATAGTACGGCATGGCATGTATCGTGAATGGGGGAGAATATAGGATATTACTGTGAAAGCAAGAAGGAAAGAGAACACTAGGTAGACCAAAACGTAGGTGGGCGGATAATAATAAAACGGATCTTAGAGATAGGGTGGGGTGGAATGGACTGGATTGATCTGGCTCAAGATAGGGACTAGTGGAGGGCTCTTGTGAACACGATAATGGAACATTCGGGTGCAAACAAAATGTTGGGAAATCCTTGAGTATCTGCACAACTGGCGGCTTCTCAAAAAGGGCTCAGTTCCATGGAGTTAATTAGCCAGTTTCATATTCCATCCGCTTCAACCCAGGGGAAAAAAGGGTCCTCTATAACCGTTTCCACTCCATAGAAAACAATTTCTGGCACGGCGATTCTGTAGCAGTCACTGACGACCGAGGCAAGTCATCCAAATATCAGAGGTTTATTTTGTCTCAGTCTAATTACATCTGGATGCTGATAGTCAGAGAAAACATCCCTGGCAAGGACGACGTGTCTCACACATACAGGACATTTCATGTACATGCAAACATACGATACGCAGTTGCAAGAAACTGTTTACGTCCCACTGATGCTTGGAATTAAACAGAAGACGAATGGACCGTGAGAGTAATATTCAGGCCGTGATGTTACATCTGCTAGACGTACAGCAAGATATGAAGCAGAGGGCGGTGACTGCGGCTGAATTAAGGGGGGAGGGATGGTGACGCATTATAACTAAGTTCCTGACTAACCCATAAACACCATACATATTAGAGTTGAAGTGTGTGGTTTTCTGCATTGTAACGCCGTGTAGTTAGGTGAGGCCGGTCACGGAAGCCAAGCGGTCTAAGGCATGTATGTTTGGTATGTGTATGTGATTATTCTGTGTTTGTGTTCTCCTGTGTTTAGGTAGAGACCTTGCGATGAACTGATCACTCGTCCAAGGAGTCCTACCGTCTGTAAAATGATCAAAATAAAATAAAAAAACAAACAAACTCGATATCGTAAAATACAAGAGGAAAGGATTAAGTAAGGAAGTAGGTAGGAGACAGTTGGACGTTTCGGAATCTAAGTGTAAGCCGAGCTTGATGACTGCTTCTGTTGGTTTCTTGAGTGGGTTATTCTTTGATTCTGGAGACGGAGACCACATTTTCCTCCGAAATGTCTGGCTCTCTCCGAACTACAGTGTGTTACAATTCAAGAAATCGCGACTCTTCATAGTCACCGCTGTGTTAGTGGATTCGACAAAATTCACTGAGAGTTCTGTTCGGGATGGGCATGTCCAAATTACGCGGAGTACAACTGCCACATATGGTGGAGTAGAAATAGACTCAACGGCCTACAACGATTTCTTAAGTACCTGTTGTAATTGCTGTCATAATGCTGACTAATTTTCAACCTTGCAGCCAGCTTAACGTGATATACAAAGTAAAGCCATCAGCGAAACAAAACCCCAGTATTCGACGTCACAGAACCATCATAAGTCAACCGTCTCGTAATTTCCAATGAAACTACTTTCCTCATTAACAATTATGCTGGCCTTAAATGATCAAGGGGGGAAATTTTGGGGCGTAACGTAACGTCACATAATTTCAGCCGGAAAACCTGAAAGGAAGAACATCTGCAAGAATAATATTAAACAGATTCTAAAGAAACAGATTATGATGATGCGGACTGGATTAATCTGGCTCGGAACAGAATCCCGTGGTCTATTCTTACGAACACGGCAAAGATTGAGAATTCTGAGACTATCTGTGCGCCTATTAATTTTATATGGACTCTGTTAGATGCAATTTGCTAACATCGTAGCGTAGTGATCAACAGACCTGCCTTGTATTCGACGAAGACGCGAACCTAGGCCCCGATATGGGGCTAAGCAAAATATATCGGATATTTTTGCAGTACATAACACAAAATGACATTACTATTCTAGCAATTTCATTTCTAACTAATTTTTAATGTAAAGTTGTACCCGTGTTTAATTAATTAAGCACTATGCCATGAAGACATATGGGGGAGTGGATGTATACCTCCATCATTCCTGACATCGGAACTATATGGAGATACGTCATCAGCTTCACGTCCCTGCCGATTTACCCGCTGGGCAAACAGCCACCCCGGTACCCATTGCACAGGAGGCTGGATGGGCCCCAGAGCCGCTCCTGACGCTGTGAAGAAGAGAAATATCATATCCTTTCCGGGATTAGAACTCCGACCGTTCAGCCCCTCGCTATACCGACTGAGCTATCCCGTGTTCATTCTCAATTACTGGAAAATAATTTTTGCTGTCCAGTCTTGACACCTGCAAGCGATCTCTTCGCAACGTTAAAATTATCAAATTATACAAGGCGTTCCGGGAAGAGCTAATCGCCTACTTCCCTTTGATACGACCATGGATCGCAAACAAAATTATGCGTCCAACAATCCTTCCGTTGCCTAGCACCGAAAAGAGGGATACACATACAGACAGACACAGGCCGATGGGAGGGATTTATGAACTATGACGTTGAGATGGGCTCAGGTGCCGTGATATACATACCAAGTTTCACAAAGATTGGCCCAAGCATTCAGAAGTTCATCCAAGGGGATAGACAGACACATAGAAACAGCTTGGAGATCGCATAAGCATACAATAGGAAAGTAGGCTAAAAATGGCCGTGTAGTAAAAACATTTAAAAATAGGTTTACAAGTGAATCATTTTACAAAAGAAATTTCAGTGGATACTACACAGTGCCCTCTTAACCACGTGTGTGTTAAATTTCGTAACTGCATAGCTCATGGCTGCATCTGCACTTAATACAATTAAAATTGTGGAGACAGAGGCTCACAGCCCCCCCCCCCGGGAGTCATTCCAAATACAGGAACGTCGCGGTGCAACTGCTAACACTTCTGCTTCTTTGGGAGGAGGGGGGGGGTTATAGGTAAGGTAATTTGTTAGTGTGCTTAACTAACTAACCACTACGTCATGAAGGCGTATGGAGGAGTGGATATATAGATCCACGTTTTCTTGACCACGACATTAGCTGGAGGTGAGTGGGCAGCTTCACATCCCGGTCGCTTTACTCCTGGAGAAAGAGCCACCGGTACCCATTGAATAGGAGGCTGGGCGGACCCCAGAACCGGTCTGAATGACATGAAGAACAGAAAATTCATGACCCTGGCGGGACTCGACCTTAGACCTCTCCGTCGTACAGCCCGTAGCCAATCGTTATACCGACTGCGCTATCCAGGCTCTCTTTTTGGGGGAGGGGTCTCAAACGTCGGCCCGCAAACAGACTGTCTATGTCGCCCGTGGTTTTTCGTGACTCCAGACCGATTCTGTGGCAGTTCCTCAAAACAGGCCCTCCCCATTTCCACAACTTCCCAACTCATGATCCACAAATGTGGATGTGTGTTATTTGTCTGCCGTCTTATTGTAGTACCGCTGCCACCGGGTGAAAACCCATTTGCAGTTAAATAATAATAATAATAATAAATCGCCCAATATTTCTAAATACGGTCTACTTATTTCTTATTTTCTTTTAGGTGCAGCATTTGTGAGCATAATGATACAGCAATCTTCAAGTCAGATCGCTAGTGTGAGAGCAAAGCAAGACGCAGAGAGCAGAGATCGATTCAACTTCTTTGACCTAGAACTTCTTAAGGTAACTTTCATCAGCAGCAGCGCAGGTCATACATTCATAAAGCAATAATACTGTACTTAAGCACATATTACGCGCAATGCATGCTCTATGGGAGCGCTTTTTAACTACATTTCAAGCGGATTTATATGTATTTCACTGCAGATTTTTAAGTATCCTAATAAATACAGCATACAGTCCTACTAATTTATTGTGTCCTCTAACGTGGGCGGAAGAGAGGGAAGAAAAAGAGTAAAAGTAAAGTAAAGCTATCCCTGTAAGAGGCCGTGAGACGTTGAGGGTCCCACATTACCTAGACAATCGGCTCAGAGATGGCGGTAAGGTTGTCAGCCTTACGCGACAGCCGCGCTTTACTCCCAAGGAAATTTAATTAATTCCTGGTACTCATTTCTGTTAGAGACTGAGTCGACCCCAGGGCCATAGTGCGGCCGGAAGGATTAGGTCAATTTAAAAAAAAATCCAATGACCTCATCGGGACTTGAACCCGCGACCTTCCGGCTTGTAGCGTAGCCCCTCAACCAACTAGGCTACCGCTGGGGAGTAAAGCGAGGGCGGCGCGTAAGGCTGACAACCTTGCCGCCATCTTTGAGCCGACTGTCTAAACAGTGTGGGAG